AGAGAGAGAGAGAGAGAGAGAGAGAGAGAAAAGCCAACCTTAACACTCCAAGCGAGGCGGAACCCATCACACTGTAGGGGCAGTTGTTCCAATGGTTATTTACCTTTGCCGTTAACAATGGGCCCCCAATTTCCAGTTGGGGTTTTCTATCTTCAGCTTCCACCCACTGAACCTTGCTGTCCTTTTGTCTGCCCTTGGCTCTCAGTAAGCTTCACTCCTTTTGGGAGAAGCTCAATAGGCTCCATCTTCTAAAATGGGACCATGTCTTGTGGTGTCTGAATGGGAGCCGGCCCTTGGAGGCTGGGAGTACAAACTCCTCTCTTAGCCTTCTCTTTCATAAGCTAGAGAGAGAGGCTAAAGAAGCTCTCTCTCCATGAGGCAGGTTTCCAGATTTTGAATCTAGAGCCGTTAAAACTTGGAATTTATGTTCCATGGGAAATCCTGACACTTTTTTTTTTCTTTAAGTTAATTCCAACCTGGAATGAAAACTCAAATTTTCAGTTTCCATGAAAAGGAAATGAATGTTTTCATTTTGGAAAAAGTGAACTGGAAGACAGATCTCCAGAGACTCTCACATTTCACTGGAAAACTCCCGACTGGCTGTTCTCGAATGATCCTTGTAACTCTTCTCTGAGCTCTCTCCAATTTTTCAACATCCTTTTTACCGTGGGGACACGCTATTCTGGTGACAAATGACCAACGGGTTCTCAAAGCATTACCAATTTACCTGATTCTGTATTTTCTCACCTTTCTAAATTAGAAAAAGATTTTTAAAGTCAAAGGCATGTTTATTTAAAGACACTAGATGGTAAGAAAGCTACAGCTAACCCACTGAAAGCAGGCCTACCGTGGTCCACTTTGTAGCGCAGTTTCTGTATAGTTGCCAGATTTCCACTTATTCGATAAAGTCCATCAATGTCCAAACCTATTAGACCAGGGACCAAAACTACAGTTAGTTACCCCATAGCTGGACAACAGGAATATGCCAACAAGGAGCTGGAGAGACGTTGCGACAGAGATTCACACATAAAGCAAGCCCAGTGTGAAGAGAGCTTCATGCTCCATAGGCGCTAGGAGGGCCGGCATTCTCAAAAGGATGTGACAGATTTGCACAAGTGCTCAGCGGACTGGGTGCTGATACCTACTGCTGCATTTCCAGGGGTGCTTAGCACCCGAACTGCTTGGGAAACCTGGCCCAGGCTGCAGGTGCTAAGCACTTGGAAGTCTGGCCCCAAGCTCTTTTGGGCCTCTGCCCTGTTCCTTGCGAAGGAATGCAATGGGGTACTCGAGCAGCAGGGGCCCTCCAGGCCCCAGACACGGCTCATACTTGCAGCCTGCCTTGGGGGAAGGAGCAATGCACTGGGATGCAGCAGGGCAGGTCCAGGTCTGCAGCGGCTGCGGCAGAAACCGAGAGAGGAGCAGGGCCACGCAGATTCGAAAGCGAGTCGAGAAAAGCAGTTTAGAAACTTCTGTGCTGCTTTCTGTTCTGCTTCTCCTCGGGACTGCTTTTTAAGGTGGGAGGGTACGTGCAGACACACCCCAACAGCTTGCTCTACAAACCCAGATTGAACCAAGCCTCGAGATGAAGAATTCAGAAGCCAGATGCTAATAGCAATTAGCTGCTCCATTAGTCAGTTTGTGGGATGCTTCTTGGGAAACTAACCCCCCCTGAGCCTGCAGCCCCTCCTCGTAGCCCACCTAGGCCCGAGGGCACCAGGTAACGCTGGGGGGGGGCTGCAGTGCCAGAGATGGTGGAGTCAGGGCTGGTTACTCAGGGCAGAAGGGGCTGTGCTTCCCCGAGGGCTGGAGCCCTGGAGCATGAGAGGGGCTGGCTAGGGGCTCTCTTGGCCCCCTGCTCTTTACTGGAGGATTTGGCGAGGATACCTCTGTGTTCCACCGTCTGGATGCACTGCTGCACAAACCGCGGCACCGTGCCATGCTCCCGCTCGCACAGCGCTTGCAAGGAGCAGCCAAACACTTGGTCTGAAAAACAAACCAACAAAGCCAGACATTTAGGCAGGTAACTCGGGGCTCTGCCAGGGGATCAGGATGATTTGCCCCCCTGGATCGCCGGTCTGGGGACGTGCTGGGGGAGAAGCTTTGCTTGGGGATGCAAGGTTTGGGTTTCCTGGCTCGGAAGAAGGGTTTGTTCTACTCGTAAGCGCCCACCCCCAAAGCGCCCTGCCCAGCCTGTACCTTTGATGTACCCTCGCTCCCGCAGGAACTGCAGAGGGGGCCGTTTCTGGAGCAGCTTTCGCAGCCTGTTTCGAACTTTGCTGGTGTCGCTCTCGGAGCCCAGGCTACTGGCTGCCGGCCCGGAGGCTGCGGGAGACAAGGGAGAGCGTTTCACCGCGAGACCAGGAGAGGCCCCAGCATCGTTCTGGGCACAGACAAGGAGCCCCAAATGGGCTGCAGACAGGTTGCTTAGCTTAGCCCTCCCCGTAGGTCCACTCCCAGCGCGAAGGCCAAACATTACACAGAAGTAAGGGTGGCATGGTATGGCATTGGCACCCTTACTTCTGCACTTCTAATTTTCTGTCTAGTCCACCTCAGCCCCCCACACTGGAAAGAGGCTGGCGCTGCCCCTGCCAGCTCCTCACTCTGGTCTCAGTCTGCTTGGGTGAGCAGCTGCTTTATACCAGAAAGAAAACTCCATGTTAGAGAGAGTCCTGTTGCAGGGACGTTACCACCCCAAGCCTGGTGCCGCCAGGTGCCCGGTGTCAGCACCATCCCTGCCTACTGAACCCCATCCAATCCCGCTCCCATGACAGGACATGCCAAAGGGCCAGAGGTGACCTGGCCTTGAGCACACCAGCCAGAGGAGTTGGGGGACCCAGCTCGCATTCGTGTTGCCATCTGTGTCCTTCAGCCAGTTTGCCCTGCAATGCAACACGGGGCATGCTATGGGGCCGATGCTGCAGCCTGCTCTGGCAGTACGTATGGGCTGTATGCAAGCCTCCAAGGCAGGGAGAGAATTTTCCGAGTTACAACCACCCTACACTGCCCCACTGCAAGGCCTGGGGAAGTGGGGGTTGGGAACAGCCATAGAGCTTGAGGTTCCAGAGATCAGAAGGCTGCTCTATGTAGAGGCTGCTCTAACTTGCCCAAGGAGCCATTTGGCCCAGGCTCCAGGTGGGGAGCACTCCTGCACCTTCTGGGCTGTCTCCCAGCATAGAACCTGGCCCTCCGCCTTCACTGCATGTTACTAACTAGGGCATCTACACTGCTGCTCAGCTGCACCTTACCAAGGGACATTGGGTAGTTAATGCAGCTCTGCCTGGCTTGAGCTGAGCAGACAACGAACTCTGCAGCACCACAACCAGCAGCTCCCAGGCAGACTCGGCCTGGAGGCTGCACCAGAGCGGGCCCCTGGGCTGTTCCCAAGCAGGCTGCTCCGCTCAGATCTCACCCACTCGCCTGGATTCTTTTTGTCTTCGTCTTTGTTGTTTCCCAGTCTCTCCTTGGCTCCAAAGTCCCCAACGTTTCCGTTCTCGTCGTGAGTAGGAAAGTCTGTGGACTGAGGGAGACATGGCATCAGCTCTTGTCCCATCAAGGCCCCGAAGGAGCTCAGAGGCATGCAGCTCAGGGCGGGAGGCGTGGTGCTTTCCCAGAGTCTGCTAGACACGGCTGAGTAGGTTGGGAGGGAGACAGCGGATAATGCGAAAATTCCCCCACCCCGACACACAAGTGATGGTCCACAAATCAGTCTGGACACAACAGATACTTGGACTGTCAGCTCTTTGGGGCAGGGATGGGCTTTTGTTCTGTGTTTGTACAGCACCTGGTGAGCTGGGGTCCGGGGCCTAGGGCTACTGCAGCGCAGAGAATGCAACCGCAGCAGGAGCCAACCTGAAACTTTGCTCAAAATTCACATTTTTTTGAGGTTGGGGTAAGAAAGAAACCAATCCCGCCGTGCTGAGTTCCCAGGGGGACAGCGGCTGGCAGGGTGTTTCTAGCAGCCAAAGTGCTGTAAATCTCGTGAGAAAGCCAGTCCCAGGATGGTGATGCCAGATCCTAAAGACGAAACCTAGGTGGGGCTCCAGGAGGGGACAGAGCTGAGCAGAAGATGGGCAAGTGAGGCTGAGCAGAGAACGGGGCAGGAGAAGGGGGTCAGGGACAGTGCTGAGGATGGGGGCGTGGTGTGTAACCCACCGGCCACCTATCTGGGTCTCTGTCCCAATCTGGGGGCTGGACTGTGTAAAAGGTCTTCTGAACAAAGGGGCCTATTCCTGGAACTTTAGCCCAGAGCTCCTGCTGGTTGGCCCGGAGGTCCTGGGTTCAGGTTCCCGCCAGGCCAGTGCCTCGGGAAAGCTCTAACAAAACGCCTGGAGAAGCCCCTCTCACCAGCTTGCCGATGCTGTCGGCGATCACCTTCTGCCACGTGGCCACAATGGGCTCAGAGTCGTGCTGGATCAAGAACTCAGAACCGTCGCGGGTCTTCAGCTGAAAGAAGCAGTATGGGAGTTATCAGGGTGAAACAGGCGCTGTGCAGCCCCCAATGTGACAGCCTTCCAGAGGGTCCGTAGGGGAAGAAGGGCAGTTTCTTTCCATGGCACAACAGCACTCAGACACCAGTGGGCTGGGCTGGTGTGACAGGGCCCCTGCTGTTGGCCTTGACTTCTGTGCAATTTTACAGCTCAAGTCTCTGCTCATTGGGCACCCCAAATTCCCATCGATTCAGACCACATAGAATCATAGAATCTCAGGGTTGGAAGGGACCTCAGGAGGTATCTAGTCCAACCTCCAGCTCAAAGCAGGACCAATCCCCAGATAGATTTTTGCCTCAGATCCCTAAATGGCCCCCTCAAGGATTGAGCTCACAATCCTGGGTTTAGCAGGCCAATGCTCAAACCACTGAGCTCTCCCTCCCCCAGGCTGAGCCCTTGTCTTCGGTGCTCACAGGTCCTGAGGAAAAGATGCCTGGCTTCTAGGGGCAGATCCCTTGCACTGGGCTCCCTCAGACTAAGCCCTGGCTCTGCACTGAGGTCTCCCCCTGTATTTAGCTGCATCTCTAAGCTGTCTCTGCAGCAGGAGTGTCCCAGCTCTGCCCGCAACCTGGCCAGGCAGGCGGGGCGTTGTGATCGCTGCTCCTGACGGGCTAGAATTGTGATCCCGGTGCGAATCACCAGTCTGTCTCATCCACCTGTTGTGAGCTCCTTGGGTGGGGGCTGCCACTTGCTCCGTGTACGGCCAGCCCCCAGTACTGTGGGACTTAGCTGGCCAACCCCTCTGTGCTACTGCAGTAGAAGTGTTCAGTAACCACCAACCCCCGGCTTGGTTTGCTCAAAGCTGCGGCCAAACATCTCGGGTTCATCCACTGTCCCGTTGTGCAGGCGTGAAGAGTTACCAGCTGGCAGTTTCCTTTCCAATGCAAAGCCCAAAAGAGCCAGGGTTTGGCTGTACCGGCCGTCCCAAAGGAGCCTGCTGTCTGCACTGGCAAAGGGGACTGGCCCGTACTGCCCTGCTGTGTGCAGAGAGGGGCCCTGCTGACGGAGACACCACTTTTTAATTCTCCCTTTCCCCTGAAGTCTGGCTGCCCCTCGGCAATAGCATGTGGCCCCTGGCCACTCACGTCTTATTGAAAAGATACCCTGGGCTGGCTAAACAGCAGCCAGTGGAGGGTTATGCAATGGCCAGGGAGGCCTGGTGCGCTCGTACTGGTATAACTGTGTCAGTTGTGGATATGATCCCCATGTGCCTTATAGTTCTACTGGTACAACCCCTAGCATGGACGCAGTTACTCTGGAAGAACAGGGCCGAACACCAGCAGAGCTTATTCCCCATCCTGCCCGGGTCTGGCTATCCCAGGAGAAGTACCTTGATCTCAGGAGAACTGCGTCCACACTGGGGTGGGAGGGGGGCCTGTACACTTTAGTTGCACCAGGCCAACTTGAGTGCATAGTCAAGGCCCGAAGTCACGATTTCCCACTGCCCCGCCCCACCCGCTGCCACCTCGCCGCAAAGGAAGGGCAGATTGCCCCGGGTCAGACTGAGGCGCGTAACCCAGCTGCTTGGCACTGGGGCAGACGGCAGCGCCGGGTGACAGGGAACGTGAAGTGGCCGTTAGCCCAATAAGCAGCCAGCGTGCAGGGCACTAAAGAGTCACAGGTGTGAGGGCCGTGTGTGCACGTACCAGAGAACACACCAGCCAGGGGGCATCAGCTCTTGGG